ATCATTTTCAGCAGAATCTTGCTTGCATGTGATATTAATGATATTGTTCGATAGTTTCTGCACTCCGTTGGGTCACCTTTCTTTGGAATGGGAACAAATACCGATCTTTTCCAGTCAGTAGTGGACCAGCTGGCTGTTCTCCAGATTTCCTGGCACAGCTTAGTGAGCACATCCAGAGCAGTGTCTGTCTGTTGAAATATGTCAGTTGGTATGCCATTAACTCCTGGAGCCTTGTTTTTTGCCAATTCCTTCAGAGCAATTTGAACATCCTCCTTCATCACCATAGACTCTTGCTCATATGTCATTTCATGAAATTCTTCTGTGTCAGCCAATTCCTTCTGATACAAGGACTCTGTGTATTCCTTCCATCTTCTCTTGATACTTCCTGGATCATTTAACATTCTACCCAATGTATCAAAAACTATTAAGTAAGGTAAAGCAAGATAGACTTACATCCAGTGGACTCATACACCAAACCCACTGCTGTTGAGCTGGTTCCAGCCCATAGTGATCCCTGTGGGATTTCCAAGGCTGTCTTTACAGGACACTGCCCTTTCTCCTTTGAAGAAGATGATGAGTTTGACCATCTGACCTTTTAATTAGCAGCCTGACCCTATACCGCCAGGTTTCCTTAGGCACATAGATGTTTTGGGGTTTTGGGGGAGTTTTTTTGTGTGTTTGTGTGTTTGTGTGTTGGGGTGTGTGTGTGTGTGTGTGTACACACCATCAAATTGGATCTGACAGGAACAGGAGATTGTCCCTCCTTCTTCAGCAGAGCATCTGGTAGATTCGATCCACACACCTCTGGGATTGCAGTGCAGGTTCCTACCACTAGGCCACCAGAGCTCACCCCATAAATGTTTTAACAATTCAATTGTATTGAATGACTCAGTTCATTATTTATTAAGTTTTAAAAATTATGTTATGATTCTTAGAGGTTCTTGACCAGAGGTGCATATCAAATTTACTTGAAAACTTTATCCAGAATATATGTACACAGACCCCCCTGTGGAGTAGAAACCAGAAATGTCTGTGTTTAGAAGAAAAGCCTCTGGTGATTGTGAGCTACATCAGTGGTTGAAATTTGCTGGTTTAAACTCTTTTTAAAAACTTGTTGGAAATGTACAACAGTTGAGAGACACAGGGTTTAAGTCTTCATTGTTTGATGCGAGAAGGTATTTTACCTGAAATGCACATTGCCAATCTTAGTTTTATTTCTCTCTTATTTTGATTTCTATTTTAATCATACTCGAACTTTAATTTGAGTTGCTACATGATTATTAAGGGGAAAAATTCTCTTCCTCAGGATATTTAAATAATGTAAACCATTTGATTTTAATCCTTAATCCTTTTCCATCCAAAGATTCCGAATGTTAATGTGTCTGTGTTTTTCTTCCTCAGTTGTTTTCTTCTGGCACAGTCCAGCTCACAACAACATCAAGAGCAGAATTCGGAGATTTTGATATTAAAACTGTTCTTCAGGAGATTAAGCGGGGGAAAAGAATGGTCTGTGGTTTGATATTTTGGTTACGAAATGTTGCTCTTGAAACTCTACTTTAAATTTAGAACAAATTTCAAAGCCTATCCAGTCTTCAGAAAATTCCATATAAAGTAGCTCGTGTTAAAGCAAAGTTTATATTTTTTACTCTTTAATAATGTGATAAAAGGATGATATTACTGATCTTTCTACGTAACTTTCTTACATAAGAGAATCAATAATACAGAGGTATATATTTTAGACTATTTAGTGTCATCTAATAAAATAAATAAAAATGTGTATGAGTAAAAATGTTATACTTAACTATTTAAACATGCTTAAAAAATCCCGAATAATAAATACAGCATTGAGAACCACTCCATGTTATTTTTTTTTATGAAAAGAAAGGTTGTTTTTTTTTTTCCTTTTACTCAGAGCCTTCTGTTCATTTAAAGTACACATACACAGTTACGTTTAATAACATGTTGGCCATAACTTAAACTTTCCTTTTATAAAATATATTTCAATCTCATAATTTTAAAAGGATCTAACTACTATTAAGTAGCTTAAAAGTACAAGTGTCTATTGATTGCTCGTTCTTTTACAGATGACTAAAGTTATCAGTGGAATACAAATTCTTTTTTTATTGTGAAAATTTTAAAACATGAGACTTGAATTATCTATGCCTTTTGTCACTGTTGCTTAAAGTATTTTAAAGCAGGTTTTAGACTTCATATCATTTCATTGTCTGCGTTTTTCAGTACTCATCTCTTGTTATGTGTTGGTGGTGGTGGTGGTGGTGGTGGTGGCGGTGGTGGTGGTGTTAGGTGCCATTGAGTTTAGTCCAGTTCATAGCTTGTACAACAGAATGCAACACTGCCCAGGCCTAAGCCATCCTCACAGTCAGTCAGCTGTGTTTCAGCCCATTGTTGCAGCCACTGTCATTCGTCTCATTGAAGATCTTCCTTGTTCACCAACCCTCAACTTTACCAAGCATGATGGCGGCTGTTGTTGTTGCTGAGTTCTGTCGAGTCAGAGCTGACCCTTCAGCAGGCTTTCAGAGGCAGTTAATCGCATGGGAGGACAATAATTGCCCATCCTCCCACAGAGCAGCTGCATGATTATGCATTATTAATTAAAAAGGATTCCTTAATGACATTTAATATCTAGTTTGTATTATTTCCCCAACTTTCTCAAAACTGCTTAAGGGTGCCTTGTATGAATCAGAATCCAAACAAGGACCACACATTACATTTGGTTGCGATGGATATATATAATAGAATAATAATTATATATAAAATTAATCGCGTAGGGATCTCTGGCTCCCCTCTCTTTTATTTTGTCTTTGGGTTCTTTTTTAGCCATTGACTTACTGGGGGTAGGGGGGAGGAATGTATTATAGAATGTGCCACAGCTTTGATTTCTGTGTGTGCTCCTTTTAGCTGGAAGTTATGATCTCTAGGCTTATTTAGATTCAGTTTGAACTTAGAAGGGGTCAGAGTACCTCACAGGTGGGACTGGATCGTCTGTACTTTGTCACATCAGAGTCTCATAATGTCTGATGCTTAGGTTTGGTGATGAGTCTAATCCATCCACTGTGAAGTTCCTCTTCAGTCTTTCATCTTAGGGGTTTGAATGTCAGTGAGCTGAAACCATTAGAAATGACCTTTTGTATACCTGCATTTTTGAGAGTGCAGAGAACATGAAAATAATAATGTACTAAATTGTACATATGAAAAATCTTAACTAGGCAAATGTTCCATTGTTCTTGTTTACCATAGAGTCAGCACCAACCCATAGCTGACCCTCCAGTGGATTTTCAAAGGCAGTAAATCGCAGGATAGCCTATATAGGTTGATAGCCTATATTGCTAAAAGATTATTGAAGAATATATTACCACATCATGCAGAATGATGTCAGTCAAAGTTCAAATAGGTGACTAGCCTACCAATTCTGTTCTCTTGACCAACTTATTTATCTCTACACTATTAAAGATTAAGGTAAATGGACAGCTTAGTATTTCCGTAAACATGTTCTAAAGGAACTGGGCCCATCAGGATGTTCCCCATCTCCCCAGAGTTAAAGACTATCTTGGGAGGATGGGAATGAATTTATGGCAGGCCCTTTTTTGTGGGTCTTTCTTAATGTACCCATGCCAGAGTAAAGGACAGCCGCAAACCATTGCCTGTCCCATTTCTCATGGACTGAGAGCACTGACGGGCTGTGCGCTGCAGGAGTTGGGGAAAAGTTTCTGGGGAACGTATTTGTTCACCTTCCTCCTGGAACAAAGGCTGTGGAGAAGTTCTGCAAAAAAGGCAGTCGGCTAAGGGAGCTCTGGTGGCCTAGTGGCAAGAAGCTGCGCTGCAGTCCTGAAGGGGCGCAGTTTGGATCCACCAGATGCTCTGCTGGAGGGGCAGTCTCCTTCCTTACTAGCAGGATCCAATTTGGAAGTACACAACAGGGAGGGGGGGAAGCAGTCTGCTTAGCCTGTCATTTTGCTTGACCCTGAACTACCTTTTCCACTGAGTACCTTTAAACCTCAGAACATTCCTTAAGGTAGACCTAAGCCCAATAGAGTCTTGAAAAAAATGTGTAAGTATCTCTGTGCTTTTGCCTAACTGCTCTCAGTCCCTCTTGGGGAGATAGGTTTTCTGGTTTATAATACTTTGTTTTACTAGGGTCATGGTAAGAAAGGATCCTGGTGTAGGGTGGATGGTCATTCACTGTAAATAGAGTGTGTGTTGGCATTATATATATCGGGGAGTACCACATCTCAGGTGGTTAAGAAAGTTTTTCTAACAAATGTTAAGTGTTGGTGATGCCAAAGAATGACTTGATATTAGAAATTGTATCAAAATGTGGTTTTAATTGCTATGTTCTTTGGTATGTATGCAACATGTAATTCAGTGTAATATTTTTAAGTGAAAAATAATAGAGCTGAGTTTTGTTTTTTAAGAAACGGGACTATTAAAAAAAAGAAACAGGACTATTTGGCTGAAATAAGCATATTTAAAATAAATAAGATTGCATAAACTTTGAAAAACTGCTTATGGTTATTCCTTTGTGTTTCTTTAAACAGAAATGTACACTGTGCAGCCAGCCCGGTGCTACTATTGGATGTGAAATAAAAGCCTGTGTTAAGACCTACCATTACCACTGTGGAGTACAAGACAAAGCTAAATACATTGAAAATATGTCACGAGGCATTTACAAGTAAGAAATAATTGTCCATTTTCTTAAATACGTTAGCCACCTTGAACCAGATGACATTAGGCTCCTAGATAGTATTCAGGCGGCTATTGAAGACTGAGGATACTGTGTAAGGGATGAGTGCTGTAGTTGCTGTTTTCCTCTGAGGACATATCTATGTATCATTCAGCTAGTATTTATTATACTTACCATGTGGCAAGCATTGTGCTAGGAGATATGCATACAGTGGTGATCAAAACAAACACAAATGCCTAGAAAAATGAGTTTGTGTGATGAGATATAGTTACAACAATGACAAAACTTAGCTACTTAGACTTCTACTTAGCCTTCTAATGTACACCCATATGCCTCATTTGTTTCTTGGTTTGGAGGTTCACAGTCATGATTTCATCCCAATTAATTGGCCTAATAACATCCCAGTTACTTGGCCTGATAACATGTACATGAACCAGAAAGCAGTCATTCAGACAGAATGAAGGGCTATCACATATTTTAAAATCAGAAAAAGTGCATTAGGGCTATAGTCTTTCCCTTTATCTATTCAATCTGTACCCTCAGTAAATCTGAAAAGCTGGACTCTGAAGAATAATATGCCATCAAAATTGGAAGACTTAACAAAAACCTATATTATGCACATGACACAACTTTGGTTGCAGAAAATAACGAGGACTGGAATCACTGAACAAGATCGAAGACTCCAGCCTACAATATGGATTACATCTCAATATCAAGAAAAAAAAGATCATTAGTTCTGCATAGTATTCCATTGTATGAATGTACTCCAGTTTCTCTGTCCATTCGTTTGTTGATGGGTATTTGGTCTGTGAGCATGTTGTTGTTGTTGTTATTGTGTGCCCTTGGGTCAGAACTGACCCATAGCTGACTGTTCAGAAGATTTTCAGAGGCAGTAAATCGCACAGGAGGAGATTGCCCATCCTTCTTCCATGGAGCAGCGGATAGGTTTGAACAGTGTGCCTTTGGGATAGCAGCACAGCTTCATACTCCTTGTTGTTAGATGCCATCGAGTTGAGTATGACTCATAGCAACCCTATGAACAATTGACCTGAACCCTGTTCTGTTCCGTGCCATCTTCATAGTTCCTGATACACAACAGCCCATTGCGGCTATCACCATGTCAATCCACCTGCTTGAGGGTCTTCCTCTCTTTCATCAACCCTCCACCCTTCCCAGCATCATGTCCTTCTCCAAGGAATAGTCCCTCCTAGCAACATGCCCAAAGTATGTGAGGTGAAGCTTTATCATTCTTTCTTCAAAAGAGCACTCTGGCTGCACCCTCTCCATGATATATCTGTTTGTTCTTTTGGCTGTCCATGGGATATTCAGTGCTTTTCTCCAACACAATAGCTCAAAGACATCAATTCCTTTTCTGTCATCCTTATTCATTGTCCAGCTCTCAGATGCATAGTAAGTGATCGGAATGACTATGATCTGAATCAGACACACCTTAGTCCTCAAATTGACATCATTACTCCTCAACAATTTGGAGAGGTCCCTAACTGCAGTTTTTCCCAGTGTAGTGTGTCTCTTTATTTCCTGAGTGCTGGTACTACGCGTGTTAATTGTAGATCCAAGCAAGGTGAAGCTATTGACAGTTTCAGTCTCCTCTCCATCCTTCATGATGCTGCCTGTCAGTCCAGTGGTAATAATCTCTCTTTTTTTGTCATTGATATGTAATCCATTCCGAAGGCTGCATTCCTTGGTCTTCTGTAACAAGTGCTTCAACTCCTTCTCACTTTCAGCAAGCGAGGTTGTGACATCTGTATAATGCAAGTTACTGATGAGTCTCCCTCCAGTCCAGATGCCACATACTTCTTCATGGAGTCCAGCTTCTCAGATAATTTGCTCAGCATATAGATTGAATATGTATGGAGAGAATACAACCCTGACGCACTCCCTTCTCAATTTTAAACCATGCAGTGTTCCACTGCTCTGTTCATAGAACAGCCTCCTGGTCCAGGTACAGGCTCAGCGGGAGTACAATTAAGTGCTCAGGGACTCCCATTCTTCTCCGTGTCAGACACAACTTATTATGATCCAAACAAACACCTTTGCATAGTCAATAAAGCAAAAATGGACATTCTTCTGATATTACTTACTTTCAGCCAGGATCCATCTGACATCAGCAGTGATAGCCGTGGTGCCATGGCCTCTTTTAAATCCTGCTTGGCCTTCTGGTAGTTCCCTATCTATGAACTATTTTTACTATTTTTTGAATAATCTTCAGCAGTATTTTGCTTGCATGTGCTAGGCCACCGGAACTCCCTGTTTGCTATGAACATAGGTGTACATCTCTCTATTTGTGTCTCAGTTCTGATTTCCTTGGGATATATTCCTAGTAGTGGAATAGCTAGATCATATGACACATAACAACAACTTGGGATTCTGTGTTCAGTTTGTTGAGGAAAGTCAGACTGCCTCCCATAGTGGTTGTACCACTTTACAGTCCCACTGGCAGTGCATAAGAGTTCCAGTCTCTCCATATCCTCTCCAACATTTGTTTGCTGTGTTGTTAAACTTTGCTACTGCTGCTGGAGTGAGATGGTATCTCATCGTTTTGATTTGCATTTCTCTGACTGCTAGTGATTTTGAACATTTCCTCATGTGTTAATGATTATTTGCAAGAAAACAAAAATCCTCACCACTGGACCAATAGGCAACACCATGATAGGTGGAAAAAGATTGAAGTTGTCAATGATTTAGCTTTGCTTGGATCTACAATCATTACGTGTGATAACATCAGTCAAGAAATCAAAAGATATGCTTCAGGAGACATCTTTATAAAATACTAAAGAGCAAGTTTAAAGATGTAAGGTGCGCCTGATCCAAGCTTCAATATTTTCAGTTACTTCGTGTGAAAGTTGGACAGGGAATAAGGATGTCCAGAGAATTGATGCTATTGAATTGTGGTGGTATTAAAGAGTGTTAAAAATACCATAGACTGCCGAAAGAACAAACAACTCTGTTATGTAAGAATTGTTGCCAGAGTGCTTATGAAGGAAGCATCCTCCTCATTAGGAGACTTTGGTTCATATACTTTAGGCATGTTATCTATCATGAGAAGTCAGTCCTTGGAAGGGAACCTCATGCTTGGAAAGGTGGAGGGTCAGAGAATGTAAAGAAATCCTTCGATGAGATGAATTCACACAGTAACTGCAACATTGGGCTTAAACACAGCAGAGTTTGTGAGTGTGGCATAGGATTGGATAAGGTTTCAATTGCTTTTGCTATTAAGGATTGCTATTAAGCAGAGTCAACTTGACAGCACCTCACAATGACATGATTCATCGTGCTTGGGGTCTTAAAAGTTTGCAGGCACCTAACCCAGGAACAGCAATTCGTCTTTATTCACCAAGACAAAGAGAAGAACAAGGAAAGTCGGGAAGAAGAATGTATAGTTCATTGCCTCTTTTGCTATGAAACCAGAAAAACTAGAAAGAGTCCTGCTACTTACTGAATATTTTTGTTAAAAGTTTCTATAAAAGAATCCTTCTCAAAAGGGAGGAAACACAGAACAAAATGTTTAATTTTCTTAAACTCTAGACCTTCTGGAGCCATTGACGCTGGATGAACATTTGTATCTACTGCTCTGAGATAATCTTCAGACTTTAAACCAATATGCCCTGAGGCCTTTTTAAAACCAATTAGTGGTTTAGCTTAACTAGTGAAGAATGTCCCTCTCTTTTAAAATCCGTTTATATGGGATAAAAGTGACAACAGCAATTCAAAAGATTAACTAGGGGGAAAAAAAGATTAACTAGAAAACTCTGAGTGAATTGCATTTCTATAAATAGGGAGAAACAGCTCAGGAAAGGAAGATGTGAACAACTGCACAAGTCAGAGTGTCACACATAGGAACTGTTTAATTGGTATTCATTCTGTGTGTATTCTCAACAACCACGAAAATAAGTAAATTAATTTTAAAGCACAAACCAAAGCAACAGACTATCCTCATGGAACATATATATCATGTAGAGAGACACAGTAATTAAATGGCCTCACAAAGGTCCAATTCCAAACTATCATAAACAATAATTTTTAAAGTGATGAGAGAGTTTAACATAAGAAAGATCTAACACAGCCTGGAAGAAGGATTCGTTTTAGAAATTTCCTTCATAAACTTGTGCATGAGCTGAGATTTGAGGGACGAGGAAATGAGAACACATAACTGGCATACCTTGGAAAAAGAATGGGTTCTGTTAATAAAGTGGGATAGTGCAATAAAAATCAAGCCACATGAATTTTTTTTGTCTCCCATTGCATATAAAATTTGTTCACATGATACTGTAATCAATTGTTTGTGCTAAATCATCATGAGAAAATCTACATTGTGACACAGAAACATGGAGTAGACACTCGCTTTTGGAAATGTGGCACCAGTAGATTTGCTCAACACAGGGTCTTCACAGACTTCAATTGGTAAAAATAGAAATACCCAGAAAGCCCAATAAACTAAAGTATGCCTGTCATTCGAATATAATTTGAAAAGCTCCAGCACTTAGCAAAATCAGAAGTGCTTCTTGGTTCATTCTCTAAAGCTTGCCTAAACATGATAGCAATCCTGACAAATAGAGCATTTAAACATTTTTTTAAAACCTTACACCAGTCTCACATTTCTAAATCATGCTAAATAAAGAATAGTAAATCAAATTCAGCTCCATTCTAGGAATTGAAAAAGTTTACAAAGCTGGGGAATTTTATAATGTGAACTGTAATCAGAGATAATGAAAAACTTTTGCTAAAATTCAGCATACTTTTTAAAAAAATTACTATTTCTTTGTGTGTGTACCGTCAGATCAGATCTGACTGGTACAGGAATAGATTGCCCCTCTTTCTCCAGCAGAGCATCTCGTGGATTCAGACTGCATACCTCTGGAATTGCAGTGCAGCTTCTTGCCACTAGGCCACCAGAGCTCCCTTGCATACTTTTTTTAAGATGTAATAAGGGTGCCCTTGGTAAGCAAGTAGTAATGGATAATTGTCAC